TCACTGCCAAACGTCTGCCAGCGTGGAAGGGAATATTGTTTTAAACTAAATCATCTTAGTGTTTTAAAGTTAGTTTTTTTCTGTTTGGGCTGGGTTTGGTTTTACGCCGCTTTTAGCAATATTCCAGCAACATCACGGCGGGGGAGACCTGAATGGGCTTCACACGTTTGTCCAATGTGCGGAATCGAACCCGGGCCTTAGGTGTGATATGCGAACGCTTAATCATTAGGCTAAACCAGATTAATGAAACGATTCTTTACTCACCCCTGCCCATCTATTAATCGTTCCCTTTTGGCTTTATGGGAAATCTGAGGATTCCTAATACTCGTGTGTTCCTTTATTGAGTGAGTGAGTGAGTTGGGTTTTACGCCGCTTTTAGCAATATTCCAGCAATATCACGGCTGGGGACACAATTAATGGGCTTCACACATTGTGCCCTTGTGGGGATTCGAACCCGGGTCGTCAGCGTGATGAGCCGACGCTTTAACCATTAGGCTACCCCACCGGCCCTGTTCCTTTATTGAAATATTCCCATTAAGCGCCATGCGTGTCTTTATTGAAGGGGCCACAACACACTGGGTTATCTTAAAACAAGCCTTAGGAAGCGAATGTGTGACCGTTGAGAACCAGCAACCAAATATATGCATGCACAATTTGACTGAATCTTGAAAGACTGAATCATATATCTGTGTTTATTTGCAATCGGTATTTTGTGATCAATATTTTATTGTGTGATTCGTTCAACACATAACTGACATTATAGGTTCAACGTATTTTATAACCATCTGGTGCAATGTACGCGTCACAGCTGCAACTGAACTTGTAACAAATGCTAGGACATTATGTTTTCATTGAAAATAGTACAGTGTCAGTTCATAGTACTTATGATCAGCAATGTATACTCAAACCTGAATCAGAATGGAACTTTGAGGCTTAGTAATTTGGAGTCCGGTGTACACTATTTAACAGATGACTATTTTATTTGCTTCTTTACATAAATCAGTGTTTATTGTGTTCCAAAAGTAAAAAGAAACCACAAGTAAGTATTTTGTATATAATTCATATTTTGTCAATGGTCATGTAATGGTTTACTTTAACACACAGCCTCGATAATCTCCAGGGTATACGTTCCGATAAATCTCCACTAGTGGAGGATGTTTAACACATTGCTGTTCATATAACCAGAATTAACAATAGGGTGACAATGAAATGTCGACAAAAGTACAACCGCTATTAAAATACGACGTCTTAAGGATAACCGAAGTTCAACGATTGTATGACTACGCCATAATCGTTGTCACGTAAAAAACCACAAGGTCATTCGTCACGTGTATCCATGCTGATTTAGAAAGTCCTATTTGAAATCATGTCCTGTAGCTATCAGCGAGCAGTCACGTGGAGTGTTTTACTTACAACTTATCTTCTATGTCTGATGACAGTCGAATGGTGAGTCATCACACCGACGCTCACATGCATGTCTCATGACAAGATGTGCACTTGGCGCGTGTCAATCGGTCGGCGGTATTCACGTTTTACACTTGACCGAACAGCTCAGCTGCTGGGAGATATTATGGTCGTCGATTTTTATTAACATCGTGAGGATATGTTTATTTCCGAAATTATGTATTAGTTAGTATATACGACATACTAAATTAACTCGATTAGTCCCTTTGTAGTTGTGAATAACACAAAAACCGTCGCCTTAATGTAGTACAATACGAGATTGTAAGGTACTACAGCCGATTTAACATTTCTAGGTTTGTTTTAGGTCGCTTTTAATAATATTTCAACAGGGGAAAGCATTAATACATGACAAGTTTTAGGGGACAGCATTGAAGGGTGCTATAAATTGTATACATAAAGAGATTTCGGACCAAGGGTCGGCATTTAATCTCAAGGCGGGTTATCTCCCATTTGACAGACACCCATTTGACAGACACCCAATTGACAGACACTGAACTAGAAGGTTAATTAGGGTAACACCTACGGGTATAATAGAACAGTCCACTTTCTGGTTAGTAGAGCAGGGTGAGCCTGAAACAGGTTCGTTACTGAGAAGTTTGATTGTGGGTAAATAACTAGAACTTTGTTGTGATTAAATGATTAATGATTTCTCTTCTCAAAATTGGTATTACTATCAATTACTATCGAACATAAAAACAGGTTTGTCACTGACAGATTTGATTGAGTTTATTGATAGAAAAGACCCCTCCCAATAATAGCATAAGTTCAACAGAAGTTAACTGAGAAAAAGTTTTGTTGGAGAGATATAGATATGTACATATTTGAAAACATTCTGATTTGCAGTAAATGAGACACCTGTATTGCCATGTAAGATACGATTAATACCAATCAGTGTTCTAATTTCAACAATACTTTCTAAAGATTGTAACAGTTTATGTCTTTGAGTAGTATACAATGTACGATGGCCATTCAAGGAAGTAATGAAAAACATTCTCACATCCATGACCACATTGACATGATGCGTCATGTTTTAAATATTTATTCTAAATAAATCGTAATTAAGCGCACTCGTCATATATCTTAATATTGTGTGCAAAACATATAACTTCTTTATTCCATATGAATAATATTTAGGTTCACATTTGTCTTCATTTGATTTATATGATACAACAGTGTCGCAATTTCTAATAGCTAAGCTAATGTTTTCAATATGATGATGCCGACTCCCGTTAGACTAGAAGGTTAAACCGAAATGTTTATGAAAATAAACTGTTTTTATATTGCAGCAATAAAAATTCAAATTACTTTTCGTCCATCTTACAAAATAAATAATATAGCTTCAGTTTGTTCCTGTGTGTTTATTTCGACTATTCCAATATAATGTGTAGGTAACAGGTAGTAGATAATCTATTCACTGAACCGTAAATGTTGTTGTTTTAAGGTGTCTGCGTACTGGCTGTCTGCGTAATGGGAGGACACCTCAAGGCTGCCCATCGTAACCATCACGGCCTGCCCTGCACTATGGAATCAAGTCTACATCATACATGCCAGACGTGGGACCACCACATATCCCCTCATCTTCGCCTTACTTCCCGACCGCCAGACGACGACCTACTCCAGACTCTTCAGACTCCTCAAGGATGAAGTTCAGCGGAGACTCAGCGCTTGTCCCATCCTGTATCCAGACAGACTTCGAGTTAGCAGCAATCCATGCCTTAGAGATTGAATTTCCAACTGCTGTCGTGAAGGGTTGTTTCATCATTTCTGTCAAGCCAGTCGACTTCAACGATTACATCGTGACAACCTGGGTCGACGACACAGCCAGATTTCTACTTCCCCTGTGGAACCACAACCTGACAACTGGGCCGAGGACACACAACAATCTAGAAGGTTTTCACAACCGACTGAACCGTGAAATTCCACACAGGCATCCGAACATATACAGATTTGTAGAAGTAATTAGGAGAATTGAACATGCTGAGAGGGTGAAGATTTCACAAATAGACTTTGGTGCTGCGACAAGAAGCAGAAAGCGAGAATCAGGGAGATTGACAATCGCCTGTGTAGACACAAGGAGCAGCTTGAGCTTGGACAGAAATCACCTCTTCAGTTCTTGGACGCCGTCGGCTATCTGCTTAAGCTGGGATAGATTGAAACACTGAATGTTCATAGACTGAAACACTTGACACAAATGACTATGTTAACATTGAATGTCAACAATTAATTGTTAATGTCCATGAAAGAATCATGATGACGAATTATTGTTAATTCTTATTAAAATCTTGATGATGACAAATGATGATCACTTTTCATTAAAATCATTCTCTCAACCTTTCAGTTGTGTGTTGTTATGTCTCTTAAGTGGATTAGTCCATAGTGTGGAATAGGTAACAGGCAGTGGATTAACAGTGCAACAGACCGTAAACTATGTTGTTATAAGCTGTAGGGGTAGTGGCATGTAGGGGTAATGGGGGTTACCAAACGGAGTGTTAATATACATGAACTCTGTGAAACCACATTTCTCTTTAAGTAAACCCTTTAATATGGATTCCACATTTTTCTATTGTAGAAACATTGTTGAATACATAATATTATCTCAACCACTAACTAGAATCATGCCTTTAGCAATATTCCAGCAATATCACGGCAGGGAACACCAGAAATGGGCTTCACACATTGTGCCCATGTGGGGCAATGAAAAGTACAATCAATATTTTGTTTAAGTTATTTCAATAAAACCAGAAATGTGTTTGTCATTTAACGTTGCACTGATCACACAATGCCATGTAGGAAGTGATCAAATGTAACACATGTTTTGTTTGGGATTACACTTTATTAGTAAAGTACATATTCTTGTACTAGTGTTGGGCTGAGTCCCATCCTGGATTCGAACTTACATCCTCAGAGTCAGGCACCTAATGGCCAGCACATGAAGTCGAGGTGGCTGAGTGGGTTCGGCAACTGACTTTGTGTGCTGGCGATTAGGTACCTGACTCTGAGGATGTAAGTTCGAATCCAGGATGGGACTCAGCCCAACACTAGTACAAAAATACAGGAATCTGTACTTTACAAGAAAGTGTAGTCCCAAATATAACATATGTTACGTTGCACTGAGCAATAAATAGTCCAGATATGCGAGGGAGATCTGTAAATATTCGAACCTGGACCATACAATCCAGTGATTGGCAGCATCCGTAACTGGGATTCAATGACATCCATAAACCTCTTATGACAACCAGTATAAGATTTGATGTCTTTCTGATCATTATATGGACATTTACAAAGATGCCAATTTATCACTCCCACTACACTATAATCCCTTTCAGCAAATTAGCAATTATCAAAAATAAAAATGCAACTTCCACCAGATGCATATATCCCCTTGATATAAAAGAAACTTAATAGTATGATATGAAATAAAAACCAATGATCCGTCTTTTTTTTTCTTCCACGAACACTTGAGATACTGCAGTCTTACATTTGTGAAACACACTATAGTCTGCTAATCCCACGTGATCTATCACATGATCCGCAAAAATCATGTGATCCCATTCAGCGATAAACAAATTACTTTTCGAAATGTGCCAATCACTTTGACAAGTAGCGACTGCAGATTAGACAACTTATAAGTGTAATATCCGAGTTATTAATTTTCAGTTTTCTGTTTTAACTCAACTGAGTAGTACAGGATGAAGATCAGTTTTGTTCTTACATTGATGCTGTGTTCAGTGGTGGGGACCCTGGCGTCCGAGTGCTCTCTCCCCCCGTCGCTATGGTGTAGTTCCAACGACGTTGCGGATGCTTGCAAGGTTAGTATTTGTTACAGTAATGACACAGCATTATATAAGTGTCCATCAGTGTCTGTGATCAGTGTTGCATTTCAGACAGTGTCGCCAGAGGTAGCTGTTTGATTAGTGAGATATCAGTGTATTATGTCAGGTTTAGACTGTGAGTGTGTTCTAGACATGACATGACACACCAACTTATCATTATCTCAGAGTACACACAATCTGTGTGCTGTGATACATGGCTTGATTATGTCAGGGAGCACACAGTCAGTGTACAGTGAGGTATATTGCTTGATTATCTCAGAGTACAGATGATCACTACCCTGTGAGACATGGCTTGAGAGGGTCCAGGTAACCAGTACCCAGTGAGATATGGCTTGACTATCTCAGGGTCAGGGCAATTAGTGTCCAGTGAGACATGGCTTGGCTATCTCAGGGTTTGGGCAGCTTGCGTCCTGTGAGATGTGGTTCGATTTTCTCAGGGTCAAGGTAATTAGTGCCCCATGAGACATGCCACGAATATATCAGGGTCCAAGTAACCAGTACCCACTGAGATATGGCTTGACTATCTCAAGGTCCAGCAATTAGTGTCCAGTGAGACATGGCTTAGCTATCTCAGCTTATTTGAGTCAGTGAGCCTTGCCACTCAATGTGAGTCAGCTCTTGCAACAATCAGGCATGAGTTGTTGAAGAACATCCTCAGCATAGTGTGTTAATTGCTATCTTTACTTTTCTAAAGAAAGGGCGATGTTGCATAATGATTACTCCCTAAGAGTCTGTACACAATGACTGGTCCATAGGCAATGTGCGTCTGTGTAGGCCAAAACCAACATGGAGTAAAGTGATCGTCTGTCTGGTGATGTCCGAGGAAGACTCGATAACATAAAACTGTAGTGGGAGACGATCACTTTACTCCATGTTGGTTTTGGCCTACACAGACGCACATTGCCTATGGACCAGTCATTGTGTACAGACTCTTAGGGAGTAATCATTATGCAACAGGGATCTAGGAATCAGTTTCATGTGAAATAACAGTTGGTTATATCAGGGTCTAGGTGATCAGTTTCACATGAGATAAAGGTTGACAAAATCAGGGTCTAGGTGATCAGTTTCACATGAGATAAAGGTTGACAAAATCAGGGTCTAGACGATCAGTTTCACATAAGATAAGGGTTGACAATATCAAGGTCTAGGTGATCAGTTTCACATGAGATAAGGGTTGACAACATCAGGGTCTAGGTGATCAGTTTCACATGAGATAAGGGTTGACAATATCAGGGTCTAGGTGATCAGTTTCACATGAAATAAGGGTTGACAATATCAGGGTCTAGGTGATCAGTTTCACATGAGATAAGGGTTGACAATATCAGGGTCTAGGTGATCAGTTTCACATGAAATAAGGGTTGACAATATCAGGGTCTAGGTGATCAGTTTCACATGAGATAAAGGTTGACAATATCAGGGTCTAGGTGATCAGTTTCACATGAGATAAGGGTTGACAATATCAGTGTCTAGGTGATCAGTTTCACATAAGATAAGGGTTGACAATATCAGGGTCTATGGGATCAGTTTCACATGAGATAAAGGTTGACAATATCAAGGTCTAGGTGATCAGTTTCACATGAGATAAGGGTTGACAATATCAGTGTCTAGGTGATCAGTTTCACATGAGATAAAGGTTGACAATATCAGGGTCTAGGTGATCAGTTTCACATGAGATACAGGTTGACAATATCAAGGTCTAGGTGATCAGTTTCACATAAGATAAGGGTTGACAATAACAGATTCTAGGTGATCAGTTTCACATGAGATAAAGGTTGACAATATCAGGGACTACACGATCAGTTTCACATGAGATAAAGGTTGACAATATCAGGGTCTACACGATCAGTTTCACATAAGATAAGGGTTGACAATATCAGGGTCTAGGTGATCAGTTTCACGTGAGATAAAGGTTGACAATATCAGGGTCTAGATCAGTGGCGGATCCAGAAACAGGGGGCATCAGGGGTTTGACCTTTCTTTTCTTCCTCCTCCCCCCTCTTCTCTCTCCTCCTCCCTTTCTCTCTTTCTTTTAATTCAGTAGCAAGCCACTGTATGGAACACACAGGGTTTATGGCTCTACTATCGTTGCGAGTTTTGACAGTTCATGGACATGTTTGTCATTGTGAGGGTTGGCCTAATGCATGGATGAGTTACTCACCTGATTTTATGTTGCAGGTGACTGAACACTGCAGGAGAACAGTGTGGAAAACAGTGCGAGGCCCCGCCCCTCCCGTCAACTTCACGCTGTACTACGAATCCCTGTGTCCAGACTGCCGAAACTTCATCACGACACAGTTATTCCCAGCCTTCACTGCGGTTGGCAGCATTTTCAATCTCACGCTGGTCCCGTATGGAAATGCAGAGGTCCGACATGCAAATATACACACGCCATCATATGATTGTTTTCACCCAGTCCTCTTTCAAATTTTACATGTATACCAGGGGGGGATAAAGCTTTTTTAGAAAGGGGGGGTGCATACTATTGAGAAAAGGGAGGGTGTACATGTCATTTTCATCCGAGTTTCAATGGTCATTTAATAAACTTTCAGGACAAAAGGGGGGTTGCGCACGCCTGCACCCCCTTCTGGATCCGCATATGTATACCATATTTCCTCTATTATGAGGGGCAAGCCTAGGGAGAAAGTATTTAATACATAATTGTAATTAAGAACTATGCCCTTGAATGGGTTAAATCTACTACAGCTGATAATCTCTCCCTACTACATTTGAACTCCATTGATTTTTCATTATCCCCTGTCACAAGGTGGGGTGGGAGAAGGTTAGAACTCCGTCCGTCCGTCCGAGATGATGGGGACGGATTTTCTCAAAAAAACTATAGATGGGGAAACCAAATGTGGTATGTACTTTCAGGACATGAATGTCGTGGTGGAGTTACAATTCAGGAACCAAATAGGGACAGAACAGTGTGGTGGGGAATATTGATGACCATGTCTTCTTGTTAATTTTGCCAAAGAAGAGACAGAAAGGACATGTGAAAGATTATGACAAGGTTATTTACTTGTAAACCAGCCACTAGCAAGGTCAGGTTTAACGAGGGTTAGTTCCTAGGAAGCAGAATAGTTTAATCCCATAAAATCACACAACAACCACATCAAAAGGATCGTTTTATGGAGGAGTGTGTGTGTGTGCGTGCGTGCGTGCTGGCAGGCATGTGGGTGGGGGTGCGTGCGTGCGTACATGTGTGTGTGTGTGTGTGAATGCCTATAACGTGGGCGAAATATGCATTATGTCAGAAAGCGCATGTTAAATCTCCTAATCATCATCATCATCATCATCAAGGTCAGAGTCCATTAAGAGTTATGCTCCAGTTAGGTCAGTGTCTTCTTTGACAGGCATTTTAGAAGTTGAGTTGATGAAGAATGATGTCAATTTTTATGGATATACAACTTCTTTTATTCTGTGAAAGACGATGTGATGCACTTGTTTCACAACGACATTAGAATCTATGTCGAAACGTCGCCTTTCACCAAATAAAAGAAGTTGTATAGCCATAAAAATTGTTGTCCTTATTAGGTCAGTGTCCATTAAGAGTTATGCTCTGTCAAGGTCAGTGTCCATTCAGAGTTATGCTCTGACAAGGTCAGTGTCAACTGAATATGACATTGTGCTATGTTTTCAGGAAAAGAAAGTTGGTGACAAGTGGGTGTTTCAGTGTCAACATGGAGAAGAGGAGTGTGCCGAAAACCTCCTGGATGTGAGTGGTCTCAATACTGACTGGTTGTTACACCAGAACATCTTGATCCTTCATTTACACCAATAGTTACATGGGAGTGACATCACGAGGCTTCTCTTGTTTATTAGAGTACAGGGGTGATGGGGTAACCTAGTGGTTAAAGCATTTGCTCATGACACCAAGAACCCTGGTTTGATTCCCCACATGAGTACAATGTGTGAAGCCCATTTCTGGTGTCCTCCGTTGTGATATTACTGGAATATTGCCAAAAGTGGCGGAAAACTAAACTCACTCACTCACTCACTCACTCACTCTTAGTGTACAGATCTTTGTGGGAAAAACTTGAAGTTGGTAGGTGGGAACAAAAAAAATACAAATGTCTTTTCATGTTGCTGGTTTTTTTCTTCGATCAGCACTTCAGGGCAATCTTGGTTAACTTTCCTTGATGGAAACAATTTTTGTATAAAAAGTCTAGCATCAATGATCTCTTTCTGCGTGTAGTGACATATATGTTAACTTAGGTCGTATTGATATCATATGCCTACCAGATATAGTGAATGATATCACCTGCCTACTCAGGAGAGTGTATGATATCACATGTCTATGCAGGATGGTAAACAGTATCCCATAATTACTCATGATAGTTAATGATATGTGCCTACTCAGGATAGTGAATTGACATTACATACCTATTCAGGATAGTGAGTTGACATTACATACCTATTCAGGATAGTGAATTGACATTACATAGCTATTCAAGATAGTGAGTTGACATTACATACCTATTCAGGATAGTGAATTGACATTACATATCTATTTAGGATAGTGAATTGACTTTACATGACTATTCATGATAGTGAGTTGACGTTACATATCTATTCAGGATAGTGAGTTGACATTACATAGCTATTCAGGATAGTGAGTTGACATTACATAGCTATTCAGGATAGTGAGTTGACATAACATACCTATTCATGATAGTGAGTTGACATTACATACCTATTCATGATAGTGAGTTGACATTACATACCTATTCAGGATAGTGAATTGACGTTACATACCTATTCAGGATAGTGAATTGACATTATATACCTATTCAGGATAGTGAGTTGACGTTACATACCTATTCAGGATAGTGAATTGACATTACATAGCTATTCAAGACAGTGAATTGACATTACATAGCTATTCAAGATAGTGAATTGACATTACATACCTATTCAAGATAGTGAGTTGACATTACATAGCTATTCAGGATAGTGAATTGACATTACATACCTATTCAGGATAGTGAATTGACATGACATATCTATTCAGGATAGTGAATTGACATTACATACCTATTCAAGATAGTGAATTGACGTTACATATCTATTCAGGATAGTGAATTGACCTTACATATCTATTCAGGATAGTGAATTGACATTACATACCTATTCAGGATAGTGAGTTGATGTTACATACCCATTCAAGATAGTGAATTGACATTACATAGCTATTCAGCATAGTGAATTGACTTTACATACCTATTCAGGATAGTGAATTGACATTACATAGCTATTCAGGATAGTGAATTGACATTACATAGCTATTCAAGATAGAGAATTGACAATACGTACCTATTCAAGATAGTGAATTGACATTACATACCAATTCAAGATAGTGAATTGACATTACATACCTATTCAGGATAGTGAATTGACTTTACATACCTCTTCAGGATAGTGAATTGACATTACATAGCTATTCAGGATAGTGAATTGACATGACATTGCTATTCAAGATAGTGAATTGACAATACGTACCTATTCAAGATAGTGAATTGACTTTACATACCTATTCAAGATCTCGAATTGACAATACGTACCTATTCAAGATAGTGAATTGACATCACAAACCTATTCAAGATAGTAAATTAACATTACATACCTATTCAGGAGAGTGAATTGACATTACATACCTATTCAGCCTAGTGAATTGACATTACATAGCTATTTATGCCCATTCAACATTGTTTGTAATATCACTGCCCCTTTGTGTTTTCAGACCTGCCTACTTAACATAGTGAATGATATCAACATTGCCTTCCCATTCATTAACTGCATGGAAGAAGGTCCAGAGAGGTCAAGGGCAGCATTCCGTGAGGTTAGTAACATGTCAGAAACAACTTTAATATATGACACATGACACAGTGCATGAGGACTTCATGATGTTGAAATAACAATAGTGTATTTAAGTTAATGCAATATGCCACCAACCTGTGAAGATCCATGTTAAAATTGATCTTCAGAGGCGACTAATGGGATCGGGTGGTCAGGCTCGCTGAATTTGTTGACACATGTCATCATACCCAATTGTGTAGATTGATGTTCGTGTTGTTGATCACTGGATTGTCTGGTCCAGACTCGATTATTTACAGACCGCCACCATATAGCTGGAATATTGCTGATTGAGGCATAAAACTGAACTCACTCACTCACTCACTCACACAATATGCCACCAAACAGACTTTCCCTTCATAATCACTACAAATGACAAGATATTGTATGTTTTGTATGCAACACTGTTGTCAGCAATAGTCCAGCTATATGACAGCCATCTGTAAATAATCAAGTCTGGGTCAGACTTTCCAGTGATTGACATCATGAGCACTGATCCACACCATCACAATACTAATGACGTCAGTCCACCGATCCTGACCATCCTATCTAGTTACACCCTTCTCACAACAAACACAGGCTGCATGGATTTAATTCTAACTCGGATTCCGTTCTGGTTACACACTTTTGAGAAAATGTAGAATTACTTTTAGCATAAAAATGTGTGTTTTTGTCCAAAGTTTTATTTGACATGAGAATCAAATAAAAAATAGAGAATGTTTTATCATGCCAAGTGCAGAGATGACTGGGCATTACACAAAAGCGATTACCCAACATTGCTGTGACCTAAAACTAGATTCATGAGAGTAGCTCATAAGTCGGCTTCTACAGATCATAGTGATAACAGAATGCATATTCTGATGTCTAGTAAGGTAGCCCATTGTGCAAAAGTTGGCTTGTCATGTTGAAGATCTGAGTTCCATTCCATCATAAGTTTGTTGTGTGAAACACTTTTTGGTGTCCTTTTCTGTGAAATGGATGGATTAATGCTAAAAACAGCATAAAGCTTTGCTCATTCACTCATTCAATCAGTATTCCAATGTGGTTGATGTTTTCCAGTTGTGTCAGTTAGTACTGTTTTATACCTAGTGTGGCAAGAAGTTCCCCTCCATCCCGACCAGTAAGATCGAGGCTTGTGCCAACAGTTCCCAAGGCAACCAGTGGGAGCATGAGATGGCGACGAAGACAGATGCCCTCAACCCCCAGCATCAGTACGTGCCCTGGGTCACTCTAAACGGGGTAAGTAGGCAGGGCTCCAGATAGTGAGTCAGTGACAGCAGACAGTCAGTGATCTAACCCACTCAGCAATCACAAAATGGAAGGGGCTGTGGGGTAGTCTAGTGGTTAAAGCATTGGCTTGTCACTCTGAAGACCTGGGTTCAATTCCCCACATGGGTACAATATGTGAAGCCCATTTCAGGTGTGCCCCATCGTGATATTGCTGAAATATTGCTAAAAGCGGCGTAAAATCATACTCACTCACTCACGCCACAAAATGGGAGTTGTAAATACTTCCTGTAAAGTGACATACATGTACTTTGTTTAGAAGGTACACTATAGTCTGTAGTCTTTCGGGCCATGACATTCTTTGAGTGGCAACTTAGAAGCTGGGAAGTACAACATAGACAAACTGTATGGATAAAAACTTCTGTAATTCGTGAGAGTGGCGTGTTAATACAGATTCTTGTACCATTGTCAAGCAGAAATTCTGTCTGTTTCGAAACGTTGCACTCACAAAATATAGAAGTTCTTATCTATAAAGTTTGTCTGTATCATTCATGACATGCTGTTCCAACTTCTGTGATATGGACGTAATACTGTTTCAGGTTCACTCACAAAATATAGAAGTTCTTATCTATAAAGTTTGTCTGTATCATTCATGACATGCTGTTCCAACTTCTGTGATATGGACGTAATACTGTTTCAGGTTCACTCACAAAATATAGAAGTTCTTATCTATAAAGTTTGTCTGTATCATTCATGACATGCTGTTCCAACTTCTGTGATATGGACGTAATACTGTTTCAGGTTCACAATGAGAAGATTCAGAATGAAGCCACAACTAATCTGATCAAGCTGCTCTGTGACACGTACACAGTGAGTGCATTAATCTTACACTTGAACCATACAGCAAGTAGAAAGACTAACTGTCATCTGGACTCATTTGTCCAAAGTTGGAGTTTGTAGTTGTCTTTGAAAGCCATTCTATCCTTCAAGGGTTTTCGGTACTATATTAGATCCCACCTTCTTTCTCTCTGGAGCCCACCTCTTTCTCTCTGGACCCAACTTCTTCCACTGTGGAGTCCACCTCTTCCTCTCTAGAGCCCACCTCTAGATCCCACCGCTTCCACCTCTCTCCTCTGAGTCCACCTCTTCTTCTCTCCACTGTGCAGAGCCCACCTGGAGCCCACCTTTTCCTCTCTGGAGTCCACCTCTTCCTCTCTGGAGTGGAGCCCACCTCTGGACCCAACTTCTTCCACTGTGGAGTTCACCTCTTCATCTCTGGAACGGAGCCCACCTCTAGACCCAATTTCTTCCTCTCTGGAGTCCACCTCTTCCTCTCTGGAGCCCACCACTAGATCCCACTTCTTCCTCTCTGGAGCCCACCTCTTCCACTCTGGAACCCACTTCTTCTCTCTGGGGCTGACCCCTTCAACTCTCGAGTCCACCTCTTCCTCTCTGAAGCACACCTCTAGATCCCACTTTTTCCTCTCTGAACCCACTTCTTCCCCTCTGGAGCCCAACCTCTTCCACTCTGGAGCCCTCCTCCTCTCAACAACCCCCCTCCGACACCAGATCCCCACTCTTTTCCACCTAAGCCCCCCTTCTTAACTTTTAGAACCCCTTTTCTAGTGTTGATATAGTTAACTGTGTGATGTTATAAGTCATCTAAGGTGTTGTGTCTTCAGGCTTGCCAGAAACTTGGTTTGAAACTGTGATTACCAGTTCCCTTTCTAGGTTTGTTAACATGATACCTATGATCATGGTTTTCACCAAAGTGCCAAGATCACATCACTTAAGGCTCTCTCCGGTATCAAGCTGACTGCAGTGATTGACTGAAATACAGCTCCAAGAAATAATGTTCAAAACCACATGAAGCCAACCTCACCCACCCTTTTGTGTTGCAGGGCACCAAGCCATCAGGATGCCAACAGAGGCAGGCGACTTACTGTGCCAGGAAATAAAATAGTCCGAAACAACTCAGAATCAAAGTGACACTCTGCAAAAACATCAATATTCATGGCAGAAATAACCTTCCTGACCTTTCTTAAAGCTCCCCTTTTTTCTATTGATATATTTCACATACATGTATGTTGCCTCTGGTTGTGTTGATGTCATCTTATGTCAACTCTCAGAAATCAATTTCAGAAAAAAACATGATTTTTTTCCAAATATACTTTGGCCATCAAACCATATGGTTTTGGTAAAAAACAGATTATGGAGATAACTGAAAAAGGGATTTTGTTGCCATTTCCTAACAGATAATTTTGTTTTTATTTGTAGTTTCTGTAACTATGTAGCAATCTTTATGTAGCAGAACTGTATGTGTTAACATTGCCATCTAACCTCTGGTCTGTGATATCAAGAAACAACCTAATGCTGCTAAATAGTTTGCGATATTATTTATGCTTTCATTACAAATTTATATAAATCTATATAACTTGTTTAATTTCTTATTGCTATGAACATTAGTTCTTTTAGCAAATATTTTTGTAACCGAGAGTATGCTGCTTTATGAAGAGGGATTCCTTTATCAGAGTAGTGATTATTTGTATTTTCACACAAAGTCATAATACTCATGTTAGTCTTTTTGCATCATAAAATGGCACTTTAGAAAACAACTTGTATTTGTAAATGGCGTGATACTCAAGTATATAACCAAATTAAAAGACACAACTCAGAATTATCCCAACCTGCAGCTGACAGGATGTCTGTCCATCTGTATCACAGGAATGTTTGAATCCTGATGAGTAAAAATATATTTCGACATCAGAAAATGTTAATACCATTTAATATATATGTTCCAAATTTCTTTGTTTTATTTGCTGGCAAAACATTTATACTATTGTTCACAGAGTGATTGATATTGAAACACAGAAATCAAAAGCCATGATGTTTGGACATTCTGTTCCTGTTGTTGTGTAAGTTGTTTGCTATCCTTTCATCTCCATCCTCCTCTTTAACATGTCGTATCACCTGGTACATTCAACCATCTGGAAGAACATACAGTCTTGTACCAAATGCCTCTAAATGGCTTATGTAGATATACTGAGGGAAAAAAATAAGGGATCACATGAAAGACAAGTGTTCCTATATTGTTTCCTAAGGTTTCTTCACAAGCTTTGCATCGGATAACTTGTGAAAAAACCTGGAAATAAATAAAGGAACACTTGTGCTTTCATGTGATCCCTTATTTTTTTCCCTCAGTATATTTCCATGAGATGCATAAATTAGGGATGTATAAAACTACAAACCGGGGGTCTTATGTTTTTTCCAGGAGTAATGTTCAGACCTTGACAAATGACAGGAAATAGCTCAATAACACCAGGCTTGAGGATGAGGTGTGATGAAGATGACTTCATCTCTTTCACTAGAAAGACTGGTGCCAAGATGTACATATCATTCCTATTATTTCAGGGAGATGAGATGTAATACATACAAATTTACATTGTATTTTTACAATCATAATAAACTTAAATGGAGAAATATGTTGTGTTTCTATTTCTGAAACTTTGGTTATGTAGATGCTGCTGTTCATGGTGAAATTAATGCAAGTGTTTTCCAGAGTAATGAATGTCAATTACTGGTGTGTCCAGATTCAGTCAGCGCCACAATTAGCTGTGAAGAGTGGCTTCTCTGAACCTGGGACAGTGAGTTCGAATCCTGGTTTGTCCAGATAATGTTGCTTGGTTTGCTGGTACCTAACTGTGCTTGTTGGTTTGACCAGGGATAATCTAAAACCTTATATAGTCTCCCTGGTTTGACCAGCCTTGTGAACCTTCATTATCTGCATCATTTCAAGTGTCAAACTCACTCACTCACCCAAAACACTCACTCACTGTCCATGACAATGTGTGACACACAGAGTGAGGACTGGACTCCAACATAGGATCAGGCCTCAGGAGTATGAAAATGACTTGAATATATAATTGTGTCATAAATCAGGGATTCCTTAGCTCAGTTTACAAGATCTGAAGACTATAACAAAATTTGGTCTTAATATCTTTGATTTCCCAGGAGTAAATTTTAATCATGATTTGGGGGGAAAAACAAGGAAGGTGTTATTCAGCTCAGACTGGGAAAGACAAAGCTAACTACTCATCAGTGAGAAGGGCTTACTCAAACCAGGGATAATCTATAACGTTATATAGTCTCCCTCCTCAAACCGAACATGATTTGTGTTCTGTACAGAGAACATGTACATACATACAAATAAATAGATTGGCGTTGGCGCAGCCAAGGGGGTTCGGGGGTGGTGGTTTTAACCCCAAAACGTGTGTATAGCCCCAAAGCCGTTACGTGCAAAACAATCCTTAAAGGATTCATTATTACAAATTAGTTTCCACGTGAAAAATTGGATTACAAAAACGATTTTCAGTGTTTCCAAAGGTTTTACTCATCATCCATTACACAGGTCTTTTGACAAAAAGCTACGACATGAATCCTAACTTCACACACACCAGGCCTACTGGTAGCTGCATCTTTATGCTTAGTTTTCACGGTTTTCACACATCGTCAATGTGCAATGTACGTCTAGGCCATTAACCCAGTGGCGGATCCAAGGGGGGGTTCAGGGTATCGGACCCCCCACCCCCCAACCCCCCGAAAGTGACTTAAGACCACATTGAATTTCTTTTTTTGGCGTTGGCAGATCCAAAGGGGTTTTTAACCCCCTGAAACACACACACACACACACACACACACACACACTTTCAAAATTCCTGGATCCGCCCTTGTAACCCATATACGTCTTTATTATTTCTGCCTGTGGGCGAAGTATCTCCTGTTATAAATGTACGACCCGTGAAGATCCGGGGTAGAATAGGTCTTCAGCAACCCATGCTTGCCACAAAAGGCGACTGTACTTGTCGTAAGAGGCGACTAACGGGATCGGGTGGTCAGGCTCGCTGACTTGGTTGACACATGTCATCTGTTCCCAGTTGCGCAGATCGATGCTCATGCTGTTGATCACTGGATTGTCTGGTCCAGACTCGATTATTTACAGACCGCTGCCATATAGCTGGGATATTGCTGAGTGTGACGTAAAACTAAACTCACTCACTATAAATGTACAATATAGAATAATAAATATAAAAGGAAAAAGGATCAGCAAACAGGCTGCATCAGCCTATATAACTGCTTCTCCTACACATTAACTTATAACGAATGAGTTTATAAATACATTTGTGGAAATATAGAAAATCCGCAGACAAATGTTTTCATAATTCAATAATTTCAAACTAAATACAGCAAATGGTACCACACTTTATGAAAAACGGTTGGTATCATTCAGGAAATTATACACAGATTATATTATCAATTCGTTTTCATACTGAGACAATGATTTATCGCCACTAAGAATAGCATGCAAATTTATATCATTTGTCTAGTCTGAAATGTGAATCTATCATATGGAGGACACTGAAGGAAATAATGGAAGTGATCCTCTCAAGTGTTTCCACAGGAGCAGGTTCGGCTGTCTGACAAGCATCTATCAAACAAATGCGCAGCCCAGGAGCAAACGACAGAGAAGAATCTGACTTCGCCTGGGACCGATTTATAATTTTTAATATTGCGGATAAAGTCTTGTCTCAAGATGTACATTTCTTAAATTGTGATACTGACTAGAATTCCATGCCTAGAATAAGATCTGGACCCGGATGTGGATGTACATCTCCACAGAATATTAGTAATAAAGAAATCATTATAAAGTAATGAGCACCTAAACATAGAACTAAACAAAAACTCTTCTTGAGGTAATAGCAGCCACAGGCTTGCGCAACACAAAGAAAATGACTAGTCTTATTAATCACCTATAGGAGGACTGGCTAGCTATTCTCGAAACTTCTTAAGTCCTACGAACTTCTTAAGCCCATTCTTAACACATTGGCTACGATCAAAGTTAAGAATTCTTAGGGCTACGAACCTTTCGAGAATAAGGGCCCTGGTCATTTTCTTTGTGTTGCCCAACCCTATTTGCGATACAGTTTGCCTGTGTAGCAGAAATCAACCCAACCCAACGATCTGACTTACAGGCGATATAAAGTTAGTAGGAGGCAGTGCATGAGTGAGAAATGCTGCTTGAGAAATTTGCTTTTTGTAGTAAAATACAATATTATGTGAATCATTTGGAGTAGGAGGAGAATACACAGAAAATGAGGTTTTGGTACCATAATGCAAAGATAACTAATGTTTTGACATCTGTACATGCATGAAAATAATGGACGTGTTGCACGTCAGTTTGTAAGCAAACAATGAAAAATTAAATACAAACATAATTTCAAACAATGGAGTAGTCACATCGATGACTTGACCTGACCGTACACATATAAAGAAACATGTGAACAAATTAAAGTATTGAAATATTGGAACGTTATTTACAATTCAGTAAATGTCCTAAACAATTGTGGTCATTATATTATTATCATAGGATATTTATATATAGCGCACATATCCACGCAACTAGTGCATGCCCATGACACGTACAGACAACGTTATACAAGAGTGAGTGAGTATTGTTTTACGCCGCTTTTTAGCAATACGAGGGGTGTTCAATAAGTAATGGCAACAAGAGTGTAAAAACATTCTGCATTAACATACAAAGTTGAGATTTTCACTTTCCTTCGAAGTACTCCCCTCCTCTCTCTATGCATAATTTGAGGCGGTCGAGCCACTTATTAAAGGCATTACGGTATTCGTCTTTTGGTATGTCTCTGAGTTATGAAATCACGGCTTTTGGATGGTCTTGTATCCATGAAAATTTCCTGTCAGCAAGTCGTATTCAAGCAATATCACGGCGGGGGACACCAGAAATGGGTTTCACACAATGTACCCGGCGTGACGAGCGAACTAACCACTAGGTTACCCCACCGCCCGCAATTATATAAGAAATTAAATATAAATAAATACAAAATAAACCGAATCTAAAAAAACCAATAACCATGTAAATAATGTTGTGACAGTGTGTCTAGGATACGTTAGTAAAGTAGATACAGTAAGATGAGAACTTTCAGTATTCACGTTGTATGTTGTAAACAGTTCTGTAAGCATGTTCTGAATGAAAAGCCCGTGCGGGTCGTGTGGCATTATGCGCTAGTTCGGCTGACACTCCATGGGGATACCTGGTGTACAGGGATAATGCCGTTGGTTGGAAATTGAAGGTATGTACTTTTATTGATAAGTGTTTCAATGGTTATTTCAGGTGTCACGTGCATAGTTTGAATATTCAGAGCAGACGATGTGCATCATTAGAATAGTCTGTGAAATAGCCTGATGAATAATTGTTTTGATACGAATAGTCCATAGGCGCCCGACTCTGATTTATTTATAAGTATGACCTATATATATATATATACATGTAGGTCATACTTATAAATATATCAGAGTCGGGCGCCTATGGAATAGTCACACTTGCACGTCAAGGATTACTGATAGATCACTTTAAGATTCATTTGCATACACCTAGATTTCAACGTCGTCATATGAGCGAAATATTCTCAAGCACGACGTAAAACCCAATTTCACCACACCTCACCTAGATTTCAGAGGTGTTAATAGGAACACTGAGTTTATCACAAGACTGTACTCATGCAAGCACAGTAATACTCACGATATATACTCTTAAAAATAGGGGAACCTGAACTTTCAATTTGGATAGGAAGTATAGGCGTGTACAAATTGATTGACTGATAATTAAAAGTTCAGTAGGTGTTCGGGCAACTCGGCCCATTTACACCTTGCCCATCATAAAGGTTTGCTAAGTTTCTAAACTTTTATATAGTAGTAAAGCTGCCACACGCCTTAGTATTATCAAGACTGACATTCTGAACTTCACGGCGAACGATATACTTTGAGCACAATAGTCCAGTCAATGAGATGTCAATATTGAGAGCTGGAAGAGATTCCACCATCGCCTTACGTTGATTTACACATTTTTGGCAATGCAGTAAATAATGAGCCACATTATCTACTTGATTGCACACTGTGCAATTTGCGGAAATATCTTTCTTAATAATATTAAGATCTGTCCCAAAGACGAAGACTGGTTAAAAGAACCTCTTCTCTATCGTTGTTTCTAGATAATTTGATTTAGACACAAAAGGCTCGATGCCATAGAGATGGCGTACTTCTATGGATGAGGTCCATCTCTGTTGTCCATCTCTGTTGCCTACGTTTTTGAAGAGTATATAGGGCGGTGGGGTAGCCTAGTGGGTAAAGCGTTGGCTCGTCACGCCGAAGGCCCGGGTTCGATTCCCCACATGGACACAATGTGTTAAGCCCATTTCTGGTGTCCCCCGCCGTGATATTGCTGGAATATTGCTAAAAGCGGCGTAAAACCAAACTCAGTCAGTCAGTCAGTGAAGAGTATATAATATGGTTATATCAAGCCATCAGTTGAATGTCTTGAAACGATGGATTGCCACACAATAGATTTCTTGTTGTTTATGAACTCATATTCACGAAGAAACGCACCACATTGGGGTTGGTTAATGTAATTGTAGTAGACTATGTATAATTGTAGCAGAGTGTGTATAGCAGACTATTACGAGTGTGTATAGCAGACTATTTTGAGTGTTTATAGCAGACTATTAGGAATGTGTATAGAAGACTACTTTGAGTGTTTATAGCAGACTATTAGGAATGTGTATAGCAGACTATTATGAGTGTGTATAGCAGACTATTAGGAGTGTGTATAGAAAACTACTAGTATTATGAGTGTGTATAGCAGACTATTAGGAGTGTGTATAGCAGACTATTATGAGTGTGTCTAGAAACCTACTAGTATTATGCGTGTGTATAGCAGACTATTAGGAATGTGTACAGCAGACTATTATGAGTGTGTCTAGCAGACTAAAATGAGTGTGTATAGCAGACTTTTAGGAATGTGTATAGCAGACTATTCGGAATGTGTATAGCAGACTATTATGAGTGTGTATAGCAGACTATTAAGAGTGTGTCTAGCAGACTATTAGGAATGTGTATAGCAGACTATTAGGAGTGTGTATAGCAGACTATTATGAGTGTGTATAGCAGACTATTAAGAGTGTGTCTAGCATACTATTAGGAATGTGTATAGCAGACTATTATGAGTGTGTCTATTTTTATAGATCCCTCTCCTGACGTGCTCGTGCTACCCTCTTCATTATTAGATCTCTTTTGATGAAAATCTTACTGCCTGACCACACCCTCTGGTCTTTCCTCCTGTTTGTAATCAGGTTTTGTTTGGTGGTGTTACCATAATTAACGTACAATATTATGTTTTGCTTGAACCCGAGGTTTAGCGGGGAAGCGAGGGATTCTATGGCTGTTAGCAATGTCAGAGGATGTAATGTATATTCATTTTGCATTTGCCACGTCAAGAATAAGTTGGTTTGTATTTTCTCCCTGCTTCTTAGGTATACCCGTCTTTCGGATATTGTTACCCCCGGAGTGTTGTTCTAACTTTGTCCTTCTGGTTCTTCTGCACAATAGCTTTCTCATGTGTGATGGCTGGTTTGATCGCCTCACCAACAGCAGCTCCTATCGTAGAACAGTCTTATCTTGTAAAGCCACCAAGAATTGCGTGATAAACGAGCTAGTATTAGTTGTTTTTTGGTTTTTTAGTTTTAACATTTTTATGTCCCAGTACATGTTACATCGACCATTCTTTCTTTGCAGATATTACATATAGATAAGTAGGCATAACTACATAATACACAGGTAGGCCTCTGTTATACATAGTGTTGTTTCGTGTTGTATATACATTACAACTTGTGTATGTTTGACTGCATCTGGTAACATGCAAGTATATAAGTCGTTTAACATTACCCATTGTTTCTCAACAGATGTTTACATGTACATAAGTATACATAGTACAGTGCATGAAAACGTCTACTGCATGTTTGACTATTTCTAATCACCTGAAAGGCATAAATCATTTTTACATTAAAGTGTACTCTTTAAAGTTTACAATTAAATATTGAACTACAAGTCTAAATAGCCTGCGGAAAGAGGACCAAAATGTACAAAATTGGGACTGATTGTTGTTTGTAAAGGTGATAAATGTGCATGCTTGATAGTAACTTAATATTTCTTTTTGAATGCTTTTAAAATTAGGTTTTCTCCCTTTTCTGCTCATATTGTAATTATTTTGTTTCACCATGAGACAAATGGCATTAAGTGGATTATTATTTCTCCCCTTAAAACCAAACATAATATTTTCTGGTGTTAAGTCAATGTATCCCTTAGCCAACCCTTCTAACCATTTGGCCATCTCTTTTAGCTAGTATTAGGTTCATGAGCAGCAAATACTACATTCGCAATGTCATAACAATCTTCATTCCTTAGGTTTCCATATATACTACTAAAAATATCGTTCAAAACATACGATTCTTCTTTCAAATCTCTCTGGGGCTTACTGGGAGTTCCTGCTTGTGAGTAGTATATTATAATCAAAGTTAATACGACTGCCAAGATTGTCCGAGAAGATAGTTAACTTTAACATTTTAAGTAATGTGTTAAATGCAAAATATGTATGTTAAATGCAAAATGTGTCTGTTAAATGCAGAATATGTATGTTAAATGCAAAATATGTATGTTAAATGCAAAATATGTTTGTTAAATGCAGAATATGTATGTTAAATGCAAAATATGTATGTTAAATGCAAAATGTGTATGTTAAATGCAGAATATGTATGTTAAATGCAAAATGTGTATGTGAAATGCAAAATGTGTATGTTAAATGCAAATTATGTATGTTAAATGCAAAATGTGTATGTTAAATGCAGAATATGTATGTTAAATGCAAAATGTGTATGTTAAATGCAGAATATGTGTATTAAATGCAAAATGTGTATGTTAAATGCAGAATGTGTGTGTTAAATGCAAAATGTGTATGTTAAATGCAGAATATGTATGTTAAATACAAAATGTGTATTTGTGTGTTAAATGCAGAATATGTATGTTAAGCGCAAAATGTGTATGTTAAATGCAAAATGTGTATGTTAAATGCAGAATATGTATGCTAAATACAAAATATATATGTTAAATGTACAGTGTACATTATCAGGATCATTTTGGCGAACGTACACTCTCTGTACAGCTATGATTTACTAGGTCATCACGCGTTTGCAAACATCTCATTTCTCATAACGTTTCTAGGTAAACTGAAATAGTTAATTTGCGACGACCTAAGATAGCCATGGGAACAGCCAGATGCATCGTTGAACAGTTCACCTGCAATGTTTTATATCTGTCTCAGTGTGTCAGTGCTGTTCATGATGGGGTGTCGAGGTATTGTAGCGTTATTGGTTTGTATCGTCGGACTCGCTGCTGCTGCCCCATGTTTGGTGAGTGAGACATTTTAACACTTCATTTACAACAGTGAATAGAAAGTTTGAACCATCATGAATTTGCTGCGTTGAAAGTTCAAATTAAATGTTAATCGGGAAATCGGTCGATAAAAGAACTTCGTATGAAACCAACAAACAGCAAAGCATTGTGATATGTTCAACAACTGAAGTTTACAAATTCATACAAATCACAATATTACAGTGGCAATACAATATTACAGCGGCAATACAATATTAGAGTGGTAATACAGTATTAAAGCGGCAATACAATATTACAGCGGCAATACAATATTGCAGTGGCAATACAATATTACAGCGGCAATACAATATTACAGCGGCAATACAATATTACAGCGGCAATACAATATTACAGCGGCAATACAATATTACAGCGGCAATACAATATTACAGCGGCAATACAATATTACAGCGGCAATACAATATTACAGCGGCAATACATATTACAGCGGCAATACAATATTACAATGGGCATTTACAGCGGCAATACAATATTACAGTGGCAATACAAATAGTGGCAATACAATATATAGTGGCAATACAATATTACAGCGGCAATACAAATTAGTCGCAATACAATATTAGAGTGGTAATACAGTATTAAAGCGGCAATACAATATTACAGCGGCAATACAATATTGCAGTGGCAATACAATATTACAGCGGCAATACAATATTACAGCGGCAATACAATATTACAGCGGCAATACAGTATTAAAGCGGCAATACAATATTACAATGGCAATACAATTTACAGCGGCAATACAATATTAGTGGCAATACAATATTACAGTGGCAATACAATATTATAGTGGCAATACAATATTACAGCGGCAATACAATATTACAGCGGCAATACAGTATTAAAGCGGCAATACAATAGTACAGCGGCAATACAATATTGCAGTGGCAATACAATATTAAAGCGGCAGTACAATATTACAGCAGCAATACAATATTACAGGGGCAATACAGTATTAAAGCGGCAATACAATTTTACAGTGGCAATACAGTATTAAAGCGGCAATACAATATTACAGTGGCAATACAATTTACAGCGGCAATACAATATTATAGTGGCAATACAATATTACAGTGGCAATACAATATTATAGTCGCAATACAATATTAGAGTGGTAATACAGTATTAAAGCGGCAATACAATATTACAGCGGCAATACAATATTGCAGTGGCAATACAATATTACAGCGGCAATACAATATTACAGCGGCAATACAGTATTAAAGCGGCAATACAATATTACAATGGCAATACAATTTACAGCGGCAATACAATATTATAGTGGCAATACAATATTACAGTGGCAATACAATATTATAGTGGCAATACAATATTACAGCGGCAATACAGTATTAAAGCGGCAATACAATAGTACAGCGGCAATACAATATTGCAGCAATACAATATTAAAGCGGGCAATATTACAGGGGCAATACAGTATTAAAGCGGCAATACAGTATTAGTGGCAATACAATATTAAAGCGGCAATACAATATTACAGTGGCAATACAATTTACAGCGGCAATACAATATTACAGTGGCAATACAATATTACAGTGGCAATATTATAGTGGCAATACAATATTACAGTGGCAATACAATAGCGGCAATACATATTAAAGCGGGCGGCAATACAATATTATGGCAATACAATATTAAAGCGGCAGTACAATACAGCAGCAATACAATATTACAGGGCAATACAGTATTAAAGCGGCAATACAATTTTACAGTGGCAATACAGTATTAAAGCGGCAATACAATATTACAGTGGCAATACAATTTACAGCGGCAATACAATATTATAGTGGCAATACAATATTACAGTGGCAATACAATATTATAGTCGCAATACAATATTAGAGTGGTAATACAGTATTAAAGCGGCAATACAATATTACAGCGGCAATACAATATTGCAGTGGCAATACAATATTACAGCGGCAATACAATATTACAGCGGCAATACAATATTACAGCGGCAATACAATATTACAGCGGCAATACAGTATTAAAGCGGCAATACAATATTACAATGGCAATACAATTTACAGCGGCAATACAATATTATAGTCGCAATACAATATTACAGTGGCAATACAATATTACAGCGGCAATACAGTATTAAAGCGGCAATACAATATTACAATGGCAATACAATTTACAGCGGCAATACAATATTACAGTGGCAATACAATATTACAGTGGCAATACAATATTATAGTCGCAATACAATATTACAGCGGCAATACAATATTACAGTGGCAATACAATATTACAGCGGCAATACAATATGACAGTGGCAATACAAAGTAGAGTGGCAGTACAAATTCAAAGGCCGTGTTATACAAAAGCTGTGATTATAGCAATAAAGACATAGATGATAATATTCACCCCGAGCTCACTGCAGCACTGGTAATGTTTTCTAAACAGGCTGAGTATCAAGGGTAAGGCTGATGTCCACACCAGTGCTGGTCATCTGGTAACTTGAGAGGTTATGTGAGATGAGAGGCAGGAGTTTGTCCTAATATAGCTAAGAAAACGCTAGCAGATCTTTCTAAATGTTCTCTGCATCACGGGACAGGCATGTACAGGGTTGTAGTACATTCCAGAACTGTGTCTAAATATAGCCTAGGTCTAAAAGTAGAGCACACCACTGCACCGCCCCTCCCAACACACACCCACCCCACACCGAATGTCAACAGGTACAACGTATTACATTTGGATCATTGTTACACAACGAGTAACACATACCACCAAGACAAGACCCGTTTAAAGATACCCATAGTATGGTACCATTACAATGAAAACTTGGTATCTTAAGCTCCAATTAAAGATAGTCATCGCGTCAGTTTAAATCAGTGGCAGACCTTAAGTAACACATGTCCCCATTATGGCGCAATTGAATGCACTGTACGCACACATCAGCGGTATTAAATGTTCAAAAAACATTCTCGCAAAAGATCACCAGCAATTAATTGAATTATTATGGTAATGTCATGTGTTTTGTTACAGATCGAAATCGATCGATAAAATCGAACTCCTATTATCAACCTGAGAAGAATACGTTTAGACCAGAGAAGTATCAGTTTTTCTTAAAAACACAAAATTACAACTTAAGCGTCTATGTATGAGCGTGATTCTATGTAGGAGGTATTTCAGTTTTCTACAGGAACGTTTGTTTAGTGTTTTATTTTAGTTTGTACCCTCTAAACGTTCTGTTTCAGGATTGTGTTGAAGACACTACCTCTGCAGAACCGGTTGACCTTGTTCTGTATTATGAGTCCATGTGCCCCTACTGTCGCAAGTTCATTACCACCCAGCTCTACCCTGCCTTTACCGCACTTCCTTCGAGTGTTCTCAATCTCACAATAGTGCCCTACGGTAATGCCAGGGTAGGTATATTCTGTCTTGTGTTCTGAATGTCACAATAGTGCCCTACGGTATTGCCAGGGTAGGTATATTCTGTCTTGTGTTCTCAATGTCACTATAGTGCCCTACGGTAATGCCAGGGTAGGTATATTCTGTCTTGTGTTCTGAATGTCACAATAGTGCCCTACGGTAATGCCAGGGTAGGTATATTCTGTCTTGTGTTCTCAATGTCACTATAGTGCCCTACGGTAATGCCAGGGTAGGTATATTCTGTGTTGTGTTCTGAATGTCACAATAGTGCCCTACGGTATTGCCAGGGTAGGTATATTCTGTCTTGTGTTCTCAATGTCACTATAGTGCCCTACGGTAATGCCAGGGTAGGTATATTCTGTCTTGTGTTCTCAATGTCACTATAGTGCCCTACGGTATTGCCAGGGTAGGTATATTCTGTCTTGTGTTCTCAATGTCACTATAGTGCCCTACGGTATTGCCAGGGTAGGTATATTCTGTCTTGTGTTCTCAATGTCACAACAGTGCCCTACGGTAATGCCAGGGTAGGTATATCCGGTCTGGTGTTGTCAATGTCACAACAGTGTCCTACGGTAATGCCAGGGTAGGTATATTCTGTCTGGTGTTGTCAGTGCCAGGGTAGGTATATGTCACCATAACATACGTGAATAAGTAAATAAATCTGAATGACTGACACACAAACAGAAGAAATGTATCTGCTGTTGTACATATTAAACTATTTCAGGAACGGCAGCAGAACGGCAGCTGGGAGTTTGCCTGTCAGCACGGCCCCGTGGAGTGTCTTGGTAACCTGATCGCCGTGAGTTGGAGAGTGCCTTTATTACAGTTATAAAACATGTTCAACAATACAACTCCTTACTTCGATTACAGTAGCATGTGTTATTGAACCTGAATAGGAGATCTCACTGCACCTCATTATGCCATTAATGTAGTGATTTCCATGATAATCTGGTTCTTTCATAGTTTCTCTTCCGGCATGTGCCCTTAACTATACTTCATATATCCAGGCATGTATACTGCACCTGGTTATGAAAAGAATGTATTGATTTCTGTGAAAGAAATTGTCATTTTATATTTTCTCTTCAGGCATGTGCCCTGAACTACACTTCATATCAAGCCGAAGACTACATGCCCTTCATCAACTGCATGGAGCTCAGCACGACTCATGGTCAAGAGTTGTCCGCCCTACACAAGGTACCACCCCGTCCTTATCATTTGGATCATGTTCAGATCACCCTTGTAAACATTCTAATGGACCGTACGTGACGTTGGGATATCGTAGTGGGTTATTATGACGTCTCTCATAGAGAATACTACACGAAGTCTCATTACATACGAATTATGCGAAACGAGCGTCCTTCCTATGGTATCTGACCGAGCGTGCGCGAGGTCAGAAACCATAGGAAGGTCACGAGTTTCGTATAATTCGTAGGTAATGAGACCGAGTGTGGTATTTTATTTATTACCCACGTCTTACATGCATTGAATTGACAAAATAGCGTATTTTCTGTATTGTTATGTGCGCAAGGGGTTATCGTTCACGGGCCAATGACTATGCATTTGACTCACTCGTTGTTGTATCGCCGTACATGCGCATGCAAGTAACTCAGAGAAAGTAGCAATGAAGGCTGCTCGTAGATGGAGCATGCTGTTCGTAAGCGTTTGGGACCTCCTTGTTCAGTGACTGCGTTATAAAATAAATAAATAAATAAATAAGACACAGTCCAGCAATACAGAACCTCGTCTTCGTTTCAGTGTGCGGCTGCAAACAATGTGTCCGAGGACGACGTACTGACTTGTATGAAGAACAAAGATGGCGGGAATCTGATGCACGAGATGGCGCTGGAAACGGAAGCTGCTAAAGTCCACTATGTCCCCTGGATTGTCGTGAACGGCCAACACACTACAAGCATACAAAACAGCGCCTACAAAGAGCTGATGGGTTTTCTCTGTAAGACGTACACCGGGCCACAACCGACTGCCTGTAAAGACCTTCCCAAACCACAGGTCGTGGGGTGATGTCCTTGATACCGAGACACGTGGGATGTGGCAGCAACATCTTTAATACGTTTGCATGGGGACATTGACCATATGGGTATTAAAATATTGCTATTCGTTAGCGTCAGTTTTCTGTATATTGACCCTTGTGTGTATGTTAATTGCAAAATGTACGTTATCATGATCATTTTGGAAAACGTACAACTCTCTACATTTATGATTAGCTACGTCATCATACGTTTGCTAACATCTCATACCTTGCCTAAGTAAACTGAGTGAGTGAGTTTGGTTTTACGCCGCGTTTAGCAATATTCCAGCAATATCACGGCGGAGGACACCAGGAATGGGCCTCACACGTGCCCATGTGGGGAATCGAACTCGGGTCTTCGGCGTGACGAGCGAGCGCTTTAACCACTAGGCTACCCCACCGCCCCTAGGTAAACTGAAATAGTTAATTGCGACGACCTAAGATAGCCATGGGAACAGCCAGATGCATCGTTGCACATTTCACCTGCAATGTTTTATATCTGTCTCAGTGTGTCAGTGCTGTTCATGATGGGGTGTCGAGGTATTGTAGCGTTATTGGTTTGTATCGTCGGAGTCGCTGCTGCTGCCCCATGTTTGGTGAGTGAGGCATTTTGACACACACAGGATTCATAGAAAGGTCGCAACTATGATGTTCGTCACCATCGTGTGTTGGTTACCTGTTGATTCCCAAGTTGAAACTTACAGATAACCGGGAATCGGACTCGCTAAAAGAACTTGGCGTGAAACCAACAGCTATGTGACATATTTAACAACTGTATTCCAAAATTCACTAAGTTTACAAATCACAAACTATTACAGTGGCAGTAAAAATAAATAAAGACAAAGGTGAAGAATGAGCACAATTTTTATGGATATATGTATACAACTTCTTTATTCTGCATAGGCGACGTTTCGCAATAGATTCTAATGTTGTCAAGCACCTCTTACTTGACCGCGACATATGTCGAAACGGGCGGTGGGGTAGCCTAGTGGTTAAGGCGTTCGCTCGTCACGCCGAAGACCTGCGTTCGATTCCCCACATGGGCACAATGTGTGAAGCCCATTTTTGGTGTCCCCCGCCGTGATATTGCTGGAATATTGCTAAAAGCGGCGTAAAACCCAATTCACTCACTATGTCGAAACGTCGCCTATACAGAATAGAAAAGTTGTATATCCATACACATTGTCCTCATTCTTCATCTCCTTAAACCGCCTCCGTGTTGTAGTGGTTAGAGTGTCCACCCGGAGCGCGGAAGGTCAAGGGTTTCATCCCCGGCCGCATCAAACCAAAAGACGTTAAAATATGGTATTTGATGGTCCCTGTCTGGCGCTCAGCATTAATGGGTACAACAAAGACTGGTCGGCTCGGAGCCAGTATACTGTGTCAGAGTGAGGTATTCATGCTTCAGTGTGGCGTGGTATCTCGGTGAGCTAGCACTATAAAACCAGCTTTTTGTCTGGGCTAGTACAAGCAGCCACACATACACGCATGCACGTCGTCATATGTGCGAAATATTCTCAAGTACGACGTTAAACCCCCTTTCACCTCACCTTATCTCCTCAACTTCTAGAATGCTAATCAAAGAAAAGACAGGTGGCAATATTCACTCAGAGTATTATTCACTGCAAAAATGGTCAAGTGTCCAACAAGTAAGAATGAGTACTATTCTGGTAAACTGAGATGTAATTAATGCTGGGCGGTGGAGGAGCCTAGTCATGCTAGTGGTTAAAGCGTTCGCTCGTCACGCCGATTCCCCACATAGGTACATTGTGTGGAGCCCATTTCTGGTGTCCCCCCCGCCATGATAATGCTGGAATATTGCTAAAAGAAGCGTAAAGCCAAACTCACTCACTGAGATGTAATTTGGGATGAGAGACAGGAGGTAGGATTCCGATCGTTCTGTAATGTTCTTCGCGTCACTGGATCTGTAGTACATTCCAGAACTGTTTCCAAATATCGCTCATGTCTAAATATAGAGCAAATCCCTGTCCTCTACTGAATGTCAACATATACAATTGTTACGTTTAGAACATTATTACACAACGAATAACATCTTCCACCCGTTCATATATACATACCCATAGAATGAGACTGGTTGGTTGGCTCATGCCGAATGCTGTTATAGGCGTGTACAAGAGGGGCTAGGTCTTCCAGTCTGCTTTCTTGTCTGGTTGGAGTGTTCCCAACAATTTAAGCAGTATCCGGTTGGAGTGTTCAACCATACCATTACCCATGGGATGATAAGATGTAGTCCGGCTTTTCTCCATTCCCAAGAGACTACACAATTCCTTCATAAGTTGACTCTCAAAGTTTGTTCCTTGATCACTATGGATACGCTTTGGGATCCCATAGTGCATTATGAAGTTCTTGAACAAGGCTTCTGCTGTTGGTTTTGCAGTCTGATTCCTAGTTGGAATAGCTTGTGCATATTTCGTAAAGTGATCTGTGATGACGAGAATAATCTGGTAGCCTCCCTATGATGGTTCCAAAGTTAAAAAGTCAAGACAGACAAGCTCTAAAGGCTGGGTGATGTTGACTAGGGGAGCACGTGCATTGCTTGGAGGCGTCCTTCTCAAACATCTGTCACATCTCTGGATCCAGTCTTCCACGTCTTTGGCCATGCCCGGCCAAAGGAACTGATTTCTGACGAGCGACAGGTTCCTGTCTCTTCCGGGGTGTCCTACATCACTGCGAAGTCCTCTGGGCACATGTTCAATCATGGCTGATGGAAAAACACGCCGGTGTTGTTCTTGGCCATTGGCGTTAGTTTTCTTGAAGAACCAGGCTGTCAAAGTTCCTGTAGATAACAGTGTTGGCAAGGGGAATAATCCTGTCGTTTGGGCTTCCTGTTAACCCTTATCAAGTTAACCCATGGTCTAAGAAAGTCATCTGCAGCCTGAGCCTCTCTCCAGTCTCTGTCTGCCATCACTTTAAGGTCCTTTCCAGGATCTTCTAGACTTGCAAGGCTTGGCGTTGCTAAAGAGCAAAGGCTGTGTGCCAAAGGATGGCCCTGTGAAATGTTACAAACAGCCCGTATTGACTCCGATATTATCTGTTGTCTTTCAGCTTCTATTCCTGGTAGTCTGGAGAGTCCATCAGCATCTACATTATTGAGCCCTGGGCCTCCTTTCACAAAGGACTAAGGTGATCGTAAGTCACTAAAGTAACCTTAGTGCAATGGTAAAGAATGGGACTTAAGGTTAACCTTTGTAAAGGTTGCTTCGTGAAAGGAGCCCCAGGTCTGTAGACGATATCAAAGTTGTATGCTGACAAGGCTGCTAGCCAGCGATGACCTGTAGCATCCAACTTTGCAGAAGTGAGCACAAAGGTCAGAGGGTTATTATCAGTATAGACACGGAAGGTATTGCCATGCAGATAATCCTTGAAATTTTCAGTCACTGCCCATTTCAAAGCTAGAAATTCTAGACGGTGCTGAATAGTTGCTCTCTGCCTTGTTAGGCCATATTCCACACTGGGGGCTCCATTGAAACCGGAACTCTTTGAAGATTTGAACAGACGCGGTGATAATTCATATAAAAACCCTGAAATTTGTTTAGATACAACATAATATATGCTGATAGATACCATCAATCAGCATATATTTATGTTTTGTCTAAAGGATGTTATAATTGTTTAGGTGTTAAGTGTTGAGTTTTGTTCAGTGTTTAGTTTGTTTGTACTCTCTGAACTTTCTGTTTCAGGATTGTGTAGAAGACGCTACCTCTGCTAAACCAGTAGACGCCGTTCTGTATTATGAGTCCATGTGCCCCTACTGTCGCATGTTCATAACCACCCAGCTCTACCCTGCCTTTACCGCACTCCATTCCAGAGTCCTAAATGTAACAATCGTACCCTACGGTAATGCCAGGGTAGGTATATCCGGTCTGGTGTTGTCAATGTCCCAACAGTGCCCTACGGTAATGCCAGGGTAGGTATATTCGGTCTGGTGTTGTCAGTGTCACAACAGTGCCCTACGGTAATGCCAGGGTAGGTATATCCGGTCTGGTGTTGTCAGTGTCCCAACAGTGCCCTACGGTAATGCCAGGGTAGGTATATCCGGTCTGGTGTTGTCAGTGTCACAACAGTGCCCTACGGTAATGCCAGGGTAGGTATATCCGGTCTGGTGTTGTCAGTGTCCCAACAGTGCCCTACGGTAATGCCAGGGTAGGTATATCCGGTCTGGTGTTGTCAGTGTCACAACAGTGCCCTACGGTAATGACAGGGTAGGTTTATCAGGTCTGGTGTTGTCAGTGTCACAACAGTGCCCTTCGGTAATGCCAGGGTAGGTATATCCGTTCTGGTGTTGTCAATGTTCCCACAGTGCCCTACGGTAATTCCAGGGTAGGTATATCCGGTCTGCTGTTGTCAGTGTCACAACAGTGCCCTACGGTAATGCCAGGGTAGGTATATCCGGTCTGGAGTTGTCAATGTCACAATAGTGCCCTACGGTAATGACAGGGTACGTATATCCAGTGTGGTGTTGTCATTGTCCCAACAGTACCCTACGGTAATGCCAGGGTAGGTATATTCTGTCTTGTGTTGTCAATGTCACAATAGTGCCCTACGGTAATGCCAGGGTAGGTATATTCTGTCTTGTGTTGTCAATGTCACAACAGTGCCCTACGGTAATTCCAGGGTAGGTATATCCGGTCTGGTGTTGTCAATGTGACAACAGTGCCCTACGGTAATGACAGGGTACGTATATCCGGTGTGGTGTTGTCATTGTCCCAACAGTACCCTACGGTAATGCCAGGGTAGGTATATCCGGTCTGGTGTTGTCAATGTCACAACAGTGCCCTACGGTAATGCCAGGGTAGGTATATCCGGTCTGGAGTTGTCAATGTCACTATAGTGCCCTACGGTAATGCCAGGGTAGGTATATCCGGTCTGGTGTTGTCAATGTCACGATAGTGCCCTACGGTAATGCCAGGGTAGGTATATCCGGTCTGGAGTTGTCAATGTCACAATAGTGCCCTACGGTAATGCCAGGGTAGGTATATCCGGTCTGGAGTTGTCAATGTCACAACAGTGCCCTACGGTAATGCCAGGGTAGGTATATCCGGTCTGGAGTTGTCAATGTCACTATAGTGCCC